CTTCCAGTATATTAACTGTTTCACGGAAGTGAGTTGAACTAAGCCCTTTGTACTAATTGCTGTGTGGACTAATTAGCTGTTATATTCTTTTTGATATATATATATATTCATAAGTGTCCTAGTTTTGTTTCTCTAGAAAACTCTGTCTAACACACTCAGTGTAATTGGCAAGTCTTTTCAACTAATTGCAAATTTGGTAGGGCCAGGGGAGATAACTGCTGAGACAAGAGAGCTGTATCTTCATTTAATGTTTGAAACAGATTGGATTATTGTCCAGTAGTGAGTTCAACTAAAGAACAAATCAACAACTTATATAAGGAATTTAAACTAAGCGGATCTAGTATATCATTTTTTTATTTTATTCTGAGGGGTTGGATAGAGCAAGTTCCAAGGACATAAACCAAATAAGACCATTGTTTATGTACTTGAACCTTTTCAAGGGCTACTTTCAAAGCCTAAAACCAAGAACAATGCTGCTAAACAGTCAGAAGCAACTGTCAAAGTGGCTTTTCATCCCCTGTACACTGGGAAGCTCTAAGGAGCTGCTGGAGGGTCTTTAAGTAAACCCTTTGAGGCTTTGTTCATTCTTGGCCCAGGCTAGAAATCCCTTCCTCAACCTACAAGCATTAGCCCTCAAAAATTCAGTGAGGACTGTTCCTTAACCAGAATTCCCTGGGATGAATAGCCTTTCGCTTTCTCTGGTCACTCAGATTCTGTGGAATCATTTCAAGGGATCACCGCTTGTAGCACTCCAACCAGCTGATAGCTACCTAAGAAGCAAGCAAGAAATAATTACTCAAGACACAAGACTGAGTCATGATGCAAAGGAGAGAAGCTCTCTTGCCAGTTTTATTAACATGCCAAAGGAGGATGCTTACAAAGTTCCACATGCGGGAAATGCATTAGGACGCAACAACTTCAGGCTGAGGATGTTCACAAACTTTCAAAACATTTGGGCACATAAGTACATTTGTAAACACATAATGACCTAAGGGAGGATTTCCTTTTGTTTGCAACAAGGAGGCTCCTTTACACTCAGCATTTGGGATTGGTGCCAAGTTCCTGGCACATTCGAACAATCATGCATTCAAGGTTTAATCCAACTCTTTGCACTCAAGTAACCCTCCCAGGGAGAACAGGGCAATGTTTCCTTACAGATAGATGTTTACAATAAAAAATATTTACATTTTAAAGATTGAAATAAAAATGCAACTTATTTCAAAATGGATTTGGAATTTATAAGCTACATATGCCAAATAGAAAATTATTGCTCTTGCAATCATAGTTTCCAGTTTTACTAATGAGGTAACCAAAAGCCAAAGAGGCAGTTCATTGTTAGTCATCTTCTCTCCTCCTGTTTGTCCCCAGCCTTAGCCTGGGGGAGTGGGGGGAGGGGGAGAGAGGGGGACTGGATTCTGTTTCCTAGGAATAGGCAGGAAAGTCCTAACAGTCGCTTTCTCAACCATTAGAGGGCAGTAGCAACTCAAGTTGGCCTGAATCCGGAGCACATTGGATAAACTGCAATAAGGATAATCATTCTGTTGGCATCAGAAGCAGACAAATATGATTAGAATCATGTTGGCCCTGGGCTGACTTCACCAGATTTCTCTGGCAAGCATTGGCTGAAGGATGCTTTGAAGTGGGACTCTGGTTCTCATCCCAAAAGAGTAAGAATGGAAGATACCCTAGGGAATAGTTTTGAATTCTTTCCAAGTAGCAGCCCATAATCACCTCATCATCCCTCCTCTGTGGGAGAGATACTCCAAACTTTGGCATCCTGCATGTTAGTACTGAGAAAAGAGTAGAAGAAGGGAAGTGCTTCGTTCAAAATGACCAGCTTCCTTGCTATTCCTAAGGGTTCAAGACCTTCCAAAAAAGATAAGAAATCAGGGAAGAAACAAAAGCCCAATGTTCGTTATCAGGAACAAAAGCTCAGTGAAACGTTGGTAAGTCTCATTGTACATAAATGACTCCCAAAGGATGGTAAATGTGAAAAGTGGTCACTATTGAAATTGAAACATACGGGCCTGATTGCAGGAGCCTGATCCCTCTGCTCATCTCTGTGACAGAAAGGGGGAAATACAGAGTTCCAGGTGATAAACAACCTTACCCCCGGCAGGTCTGACTGTATTATAGTGTTTTAGCCAAGAAATTCTGGGAGGAGATGTTCAAGTTCACTGCCATCAAGTTTATTCCAACTCATAGCAACACTATATGGCAGGGTAGAATTTCCCTTGGGGATTTCTGGGAATAACGCTCTTTATGCACATAGGAAGCCTCATCTTTCCCCAGAGGAGCAGCCGGTGGTTTTGAACTGCTAAGCTCATAGTGAGCAGCCTAATGATCGTGTTTGGATGTGAACTTTTCTAGAAATGCAGTGGCTAATTTTTATAAGTTTTTGGCTTACTAAATATTTGAAATGTTAAATAATTCACCAAAATTTACATATGCCAGGATAAGCACTACACAAAGATTAATTATTACAGCACATTACTTTTTCCACAACTATATCTTCCACTGCATTCCATCCTGCCCTCATTGAAAGATGGAATTTGTGTTCTCTCCCATTGAACTCAGAAGGGCTTGTCAATAAGGCTAAGTCATGTAAGGTCATACATCCCCCTTCTGGTTTTCCTTAGGCTACTCACTCAAGGAAAGAGAGGCTTTCCTTTTACCACATTTATGAAATAAGTGTATGATAGGATCTCAAATTTTATCCCTATAACCCTCATCTTCTCACACAAAGCCCTACAACACATATTTCCTTATCATTTTATTGTGGTGAAGTATAGATAGCAAAAAGTTTGATGTTTTAATCATTTTTAAGTGTACAATCCAGTGATGTTTACTATATTCACCCTGTTGCGCAACCATTCTACTATCATGTGGGATCCAACCTACATCCGGATGAGTCCTACAGAAGGGCTGTGTAATTGAAGGGAAGAAATTAAGAGACAGACAAAAGTTTTGGGGTGCTTACTTCTTCCATAGCATCAGGAACCAGGTCAGGGCAGGAGAGAGAGAGAGAGAATGTATTCTTACATCAATTTATATAGTCTCGGGGCTTGCAAGCTGTCCTAATTACAGGTAACCACATACCCACCCAAGTAGGCAGTATCTTAAACCTAGAGATCTCTGTGTTCATTGGGGAAGTAGCCTAACACCAGTGCTGGGGGCAGATAAGAAGGAGTGGTTGTCCCGAGCAGAGAGAATAAAAGTAACATATTTTCTTCTATAGATAAAGCTGTCTACCAGATAGCAATCAGCCATGTGCTTGTAAGAGGTAACTTTAAGGTAGCACTATGATGGGAGGACATTGTGGGGATTCATCTTAATTATGAGAATGTGACTGGGATTCATCTCCAGCTCACTAATGTGAAGACTTCCCTCCATTCAGAATTCTGGTCTCTCAGGCTTTTTAATTATGAGAATAAAGAATTTGTCTGCATGCATTCTCTTCCCAGTCCTCAGTCTCCTACACTATCAATTCCTAAACTCTTTTATTATCCCAAACAGAAACTCAGTAATACCCTGTAACAATAACTCCCTACACCTCTCTCCCCCTGGAGGCCGTACTAAATCCTCATAAACTTTTGTCTCTATGTATGTGACTATTTTATGTAATTTACAAATGGGGTCATCCAATATTTGTTCTTTTGTGTCTGCTTCTTTCACTCTTTCATGTTTTCAAGGTTAACCCATGACATAGCTTCTATCGGGGCTTCATATATCTTGATAGCTGAATAAGCATCCATTGTGTGGATATACCACATTTTGTTTATCCATATTTCTGTTGATGAACAATTGGGTGGTTTCTACATTTTGGCTAGTGTGAATAACTGTCCAATGAACATTGGTGCACAGTGTCTGTTTAAGTCGCTGCTTTCAAATCTGTTAGGTATATCCCTAGAAGTGGAATTGCCAGATCATATGGTAATTATAGGAACATTGGTGGTGTAGTGGAGTGTACCTTGGGCTGCTAACCACAAGGCCAGCAGTTTAAACCCACCAGCTACTCCTCAAGACAAAGATGAGGCGTCTACTCCCATAGAGTTACATTGTCAGAACCCCACTGGGCAGTTTTCCTGTCCTACAGGGTCACTATGGATCAATATCAACTCAATGGCAGTGAGTTTGTTGTTGTTGTTGTTGTTGTTGTTGTTTGGGTTTGGATGATAATTCTTGAACCCTAGTGGTACCATGGTTAAAGCACTCAACAGCTAAATGAAAGAGACCCACCAGCTGCTCTAGGGAAGAAAGAAGCTTTCTGCTTCCATAAAGATTTACAGCCTTGGAAACCCCATGAAGCCATTCTATTCTGTCTGCTTGCACAACACATGTTTACACCACAGCTCTCAGATTTGAGTAGATGTGATGGAGAGGATGAGCCTCTCCTTCACTTCTCATTAGAAATTAACTTAGTGATGAAAAAAATACTGGGTTTGAGCGCTCATGCCAGCTGAGGTAGTTAGTTTATTGTGCCAACCTGGCTGATAAACACATGTGGGGTTAATTGAAGGGCGGAGGGATAAATGGCTCGGTGAGCCTCGCCTTTCTAGTTCTTGGGTGTCGCTTTCTGATGGTCGCACCAGGGTGCAGCTGCCTTAGCCAGTTCCCTGCTTCAGCTGGTAAGGCTCACTTCCTGCAAGACATCCTTGAGGAGAAGCCACATGGACCTACCCCGATGCAGCCCTGGGTGCTGGAGCACCCGTTTGGAGACACCTGCCAGCAATGAGATGGTTACACGTTCACTGATTCGACTTTCCTCCTGCAGTCTGCATCATTGCGTTGGTTTTGTGAGATGGAGGAGGACTTTGTGGATTGGTGTTGGGCATATGGGTTAATGGGTTAATGTTGGACTTGTGGGCTTGGGCAGCACTGGGTTGGGATCTTTTCTTGATGCGCACTTAACCTTTATATAAAACTCTCTCTTATACACGAGTTTCTCTGGATTTGTTTCTCTAAAGTACCCAGACTAACACACTACCCTCTACCCCAAACTACTTATAGAAGTTTTGCTTTACGTTGACATTCTGCCGTAGGTAATCCGTGTACTGAGTCAGGAGGAACATTTGAAAGGTCCTGCTGTAGAATGCCCACGACGGGATGAGGCGCAGGAAACATGCCTTCAAACATTCAGGATAAAAACATGAGTGGGGAGAAAAAAAATTATAGCTATAACACTTCAGTTTACAATAACAACCTTTATCATTTTCACCCCTTTAAGTAGTGGCTAAACTTTAAAGATCTTATGACAATTTTCTAGCAAACAAGGAATTGTTGGGAACCCAAATCAGTCACTTTACACTCTTTTAAATACACTACTCTTCCTAGAGTAGCCAACCCTGGAGATCTCAAGGGCAGGTTTCCTCTCATTCTCTCATAACCATTTGCATGCCTGGAGCTTTCTTGCCTCACCTTGATCTCCCAGTGTCTTCATGCTCTCTGTATTAAGTTTCTATTAAAATGAGAACCAAGAAGAGAATTTGAAATGCTGTCCCCCCACACTTAGCTCAATGCCTGGGCAGTAGTAGGAAGTCAGTAATCTCTGAATGCATGAATGAATTTTTCCTGAATAATTTCACTAGTTACAGACTAGTGAAAATTAATAACATGGAGCATTTGCCTTCAAAAAGAAAGGAAAGCCTTGAACTCATTCCTCACACCATATACTAAACTTACTAGATAATCAGTGATCTTAAAAAAGAAATAAAACCGTAAAATTCTTGAAGAAACATAGGAGCAAAACTTCGTGATTTAACAGATTTGTTCCATAAGTAAAGGAACAACAACAAAAGGATAAATTTGACTTCATCAAAATTTGAAAAGTTTGTGCATCGAAGGATTTTCTCAAGAAAGAGAAGAGGGAGCGCGGGGGAATATGGTCAGCAGGTAACAAGCACAAGAGCATCCCCTCAGCAGTGACCTGAGAGGCCCCACTCAGAGTGAAGATCTGCACTCCCTGGCACAAGAGAAACAAAGGCAAGTATACCAAGGTTTCTTAAGGTGGAAGCTCAGCAATGCCTGCTGATTATTATTGACACCCCTGTATCATTGACCAGCTGCCAGAGTCACTTCGATGTACTCTCCTTCCCCTGTTTAGCTCTTTGATTTCATTTTTTTTCCCCATATGACTTAGCTACTCGACATTTCAGAGCAAAATTCCCAGTCTCTTCTGACATCCACACTGATCTTTTTTCCTTTCCTATCTTCTTAATCACCATTTTGTTTGTTTGTTTGTTTGTTTGTTTTTGCTTTCTTCATGAATGATGTTTTTGATGCCCTCTGTTCTTAAGATGTTCTTGAAATTCAGGTGGCATAGACTCGAGGGGATATTTTGGCTCTTATGCACTTTTGAATTTTCTTCAGCTTTAACCTGAACTTACATAGAAGCAATTGATGGTCTGTCCCACAATCACCCCCAGCCTCATTTTAGCTGCTGATTATTGAGCTTCTCCATTGTCTCCTTCCACATATATAGTCAATTTGATTTCCATGCATTCCGTATGGAGAAGTCACATGTATAGTCACCATTTGTGTTGTTGACAACAGTATTTGCAATGAACAAATTGTTGACCTTGCAAAATTCTATCATGTGATCTCCAGCTTTGTTTTCATTACCAAGACTGTATTTTCCAAGTACTTTTCCTTCCTCTTTGCCTCGAACTTTTGTATTCCAATCACCAATAATGATTAATGAATTTTGATTGCATGTTTGATCAATTTCAGACTAAAGACTTGGGTAGCATTCTATCTCTGGTGGTTTGTACATAAATATGAATAATTGTATTGATTGAATTTCCTTGAATACAGATACATAAATCCTATCACAGACAGCATTGTATTTTAAGCTAGATTGTAGAATGTCCTTTTTTGGCAATGAATGCAACACCATTTTTCTTGATTGTGTCATTCCAAACATAATAAATCATATGATTTTCTGATTCAAAGTGGCCATACTAATCCATTTCATTTCACTAATGCCTAGAATGTCAACTTAGATGGGTGCCATTTCATTTTTTACAACTTCCCATCTTTCTAGATTCATACTTCATGCAGTCAAAGTTCCTGTTATTAGAAAACTTTTGCAGCTGTTTTTCTCATTTTGAGTTGTGCTCCATCAGCAAATGAAGGCCCCAAAGGCTTTACTCCCACAAGCTTTACTCCATTCATGTTATTATGATCGACTCTACTTTGAGAAGGAAGCTTTTTAAAAAAAATTTTCAGTCATATTTTGAGTGCCTTATTTCCTGAGGGGCTCATCTTCTGGTGCTACCTGTGACGCTGTGCTGCTTCTGGTCATGAGGCTTTCAGTATCCGACATTATTTTTATTCTGTTCATTAGGTTCATTCAGTGGCAAATTACTCAGAAGCAGACCGTGTATTACTTCTTTGTAGTCTGCTGTCAGTCTGGAAACTCCAAGTTTTAGCCTTTGGTGACCCTATTGATGTTTGAAACATCGTGGCATAACTTCTAGAATCACGCAACACACAGGCCAACACAATATGAGAAATTGACTGACAAGTGGTGGTTAAATTATCTAACACTGACTAATGATACTATCCAAAAAATTACCAAATGCCTCATAGGGATAATTTATAATGTCCCCCAGTAAAAGGAAAATTATGTCTCTAAAGTGGATCAGGGACATATTACAAACCATAGATATAAGAATAAATTTTGAGTTCACACTTAATCATAAGCCTTAATCTAAGAACAATTAGTTCTTATGACATGGCCCTACTTGATACTTGTCCTCGTGAAGAAATCACTGAAGAGATGGATGCCGTCGTAAAATTTGATGAAGAAATCAGAGTGTATCTAGCTATCAGAAAGACTAGCATCTAGAATTGTTAAGGCTTGTCTTAAAACAAGCAGACATCCTAGTGAGGTATCAGCTGAGTCCACACAGAATAAGCACAGCACCCTGTGTGATCTAAAGATTGTAAATAATAAAATCTAAAACCAGAGGATGAAACAGTGTTAGAGTGTAAATTCGGAGCATCTGGTTTTCCAAAGGCTGTAGATGATAGTGAAAGCCCAAAATCTATTTGCAGTGCCCCATGTGGATTAAACTTCTGACTGTAGACCAAGGATGTGAATAGCCTTGCTAGAGTGTAATGAATGTGGACTAATGCAGACATAGTTAGTTTAAAATTTAACAGTGTGTCATTTGATATCCTTATGACCAATTTTGAATTTGTTCTAGTTTTAATATTTTCTGCTTATTTTTAATTGGGGTTTTTCTTGATTTTATTTTATTATTGTTGCTGTGTTTTTTAGTTTTTCTTTCTGCTTTGTATGTTTTCCTGTATATGAAATCTAGGGTAGATAAACCTATAAAGACAGTAGCTGGATTAATAGTTTCTTACAGGTATGGGAGGGGACATTGGGAGCAAATGGGAAGTAATAACAATGAGTACAAGAAAGAGGAAACATATATGACAAAATAATAATTTCTAGATTATCAAGGGCTCATGAGGGAGAGGGGAGCGGGGAGGGAGGGGGAAACTGAGGACCTAATGCCGGGGG